TGGTGATGGTGCTTATGGAGGTGGTGATGATGGTGCTGATGGAGGGGGTGATGATGGTGCTGATGGAGGGGGTGATGATGGTGCTTATGGAGGTGGTGGTGATGATGCTGATGGAGGTGGGAATGATGGTGCTGATGGAGGTGGTGATGATGATGCTGATGGAGGTGGTGATGATGGTGCTGATGGAGGTGGTGATGATGGTGCTGATGGTGGTGATGATGCTGCTGATGGAGGTGGTGATGATGGTGCTGATGGAGGTGGTGGTGATGGTGCTGATGGAGGGGGTGATGATGGTGCTTATGAAGGTGGTGATGATGGTGCTGATGGAGGTGGTGATGATGGTGCTGATGGAGGTGGTGATGATGATGCTTATGGAGGTGGTGATGATGGTGCTGATGGAGGTGGTGATGATGGTGCTGATGGAGGTGGTGATGATGGTGCTGATGGAGGTGGTGATGATGATGCTTATGGAGGTGGTGATGATGGTGCTGATGGAGGTGGGAATGATGGTGCTTATGGAGGTGGTGATGATGGTGCTGATGGAGGTGGTGGTGATGGTGCTTATGGAGGTGGTGATGATGGTGCTTATGGAGGTGGTGTTGATGGTGCTGATGGAGGGGGTGATGATGGTGCTTATGGAGGTGGTGATGATGGTGCTGATGGAGGGGGTGATGATGGTGCTGATGGAGGGGGTGATGATGGTGCTGATGGAGCTGGTGATGATGGTGCTTATGGAGGTGGTGTTGATGGTGCTGATGGAGGTGGTGATGATGGTGCTTATGGAGGTGGTGATGATGGTGCTTATGGAGGTGGTGATGATGGTGCTGATGGAGGTGGTGTTGCTCTGGACCCGTTACAACAAATGCTGCTGAGAGCGCCACGGTGGCTATGAGATGTTAACTACCTCGCCTGGTGCATACCAGGCGAGGTAGTTAGTTAGTTAGTTAACGATGCCGCATAGCAGGCCGTGGATTCGACCCCGACCCTGACGCCTGCTGCTGCTGCTGCTGTATATTTGGAGTTTTCACGTCTCTCTCTCTCTCTCTCCCCGTGGTCGCGTGGATTTTTCTCCGGTCCCTCCGGTTGTCCCCTCCACATTTAGAATCATCAACATCACCACGTGAGCGTTTGGCCGCTATGAATGTCCACGTGATAAGGGGCCGTCCATACATGACGTCACGCGATTTTGGACGAATTTTTTACGCCCCCCCCCCCCCCTTCGTCACACGGCGTCACAAAAAATCAGACCCACCCCCCCCTCAAATATGACGTCACAAAGCTCTGCCCCCCCCCAAAAAAAATAAAACCTGCTTCAAATCGCTTTAAACTATTGTCATTGCAGTGCGTATTTAATGTGGCGCTGCACTCTGACGTTGTAGGAGAAAACATTTATCAAAAGTCTAATTAAGTAGAACGTGTTGTCTATATTTATTTAAAGTTGCGCATTTTGGTGTGACGTCACATTTCTCACCCCTCCCCCCACCCTCCTAGGTGCGTGACGTCATTTATGGACGGCCCCTTAGCCACTTCGTTGAGCTATCATTTGTGAGCAGGTCGCTTCTGAAAGAGCGAAATAAAAAATAAAATAATTGCTGAATAGTTTTAACAGTTTTCACACGCGTTGAGAGTATTTGTCTGACATACTTTGCCGCGTGAATTGCCATGACAAGCGACCACTTCGTTGAGCTATCATTTGTGATGGCCAAGGGTCGCTACTGAAAAAGAGCGGACATCGCTCGGTGGGGGCCTTTACCTGCTAAAATAAATACATACATGCTCGTTTAATCTCAAAACAGACGCGGTCTCAACACCCACGTCCACGCAATGTCACACTCTCACACTCTCACACACACACGTTTCTCAATTTCTCACGCACACGCTCTCTCACACTGTCCACACAATCTCTGTCTGTCTCACACACACGCACACACACTCTCTAGCACGCACGCACACACACACACACTCTCTAGCACGCACACACACACACGCACACACACACACACTCTCTAGCACGCACACACACACACGCACACACACACACACTCTCTAGCACGCACACACACACACGCACACACACACACACTCTCTAGCACGCACACAGACACACGCACGCACACTCACTCTCTAGCACGCACAGACACACGCACACTCACTCTCTAGCACGCACACACGCACACTCACTCTCTAGCACACACACACACACCCACACTCACTCTCTAGCACGCACACACACGCACACACTCACTCTCTAGCACACACACACACGCACACTCACTCTCTAGCACGCACACACACGCACACACTCCCGCACGCACACACACACGCGCGCTCAACCACACAGACACCCTCTCTCGCACGCACACACACACGCGCGCGCGCTCACAATTTCTCATCCACACACATACACACTATTTAGCACACCCGCACACACAAACGCGCTCACACTTTCTGACCCATACACACACACACCCTCTCTCGCACATAAGCGCACAAGCACACACACATTGTAACGCACCCACCCCCTCGTGTGCCGTGCCGGCCTTCATAGGTGGCTACTCGCTAACAGCACTTGCCCCAACAGTCTGTTACAGGCTACGCGAGAGGATTGTTGTGGGTGAGAGACAAATTGTGTGCGTGTGTGTACAATCATCAGCAGCAGCATCATCATCATCATCAATATCATCACCACCATCATCGCTATCATCACTATCATTATCAGCAGCATAATCAGCAGCATCATCATCAGCAGCAGCATCATCATCAGCAGCACAACCATCATCATCAGCATCACCATCATCATTACCACCACCACCATCATCACCATACTGGTTTCAGGCCTCCCCCTTGATGACTCACCTCTGCAGGTGGCACTCAAATATCTCTCTCAGTGCCAAAACTCCCCGACTCCTCCACCCTGCACACCACTCGTCCCACCCATCACTTCCTCCATCCTGCACACCACTCGTCCCACCCATCACCTCCTCCATCCTGCACACCACTCGTCCCACCCATCACCTCCTCCTCCACCCTGCACACCACTCGTCCCACCCATCACCTCCTCCTCCACCCTGCACACCACTCGTCCCACCCATCACCACCTCCTCCACCCTGCACACCACTCGTCCCACCCATCTCCTCCTATTCACAACCTCCAAGGGTGAAAAATCTCCGCACAGATGAATTCAAGAATCTGCACGCACACATCTCATATCACTGGCGTTGCAGATGTGTGCTGCTGGTAACAATATTCTGCAGATGCCTTGATAACGCTCGCCTATTGTTGTCCACGATATCTATTGTTGTTGACGTCTATTGTTGTCCACGATGTCTATTGTTGTTGACGTCTATTGTTGTCCACGATGTCTATTGTTGTTGACGTCTATTGTTGTCCACGATGTCTATTGTTGTTGATACCTATTGTTGTGCATGGTGTTTATTGTTGTTGATGTATATTGTTTACCTATGTATATTGTTATATAAATTGTGTTTATTGCTGTTTTTGTCAATTTATGTCTATTGTTGTTAGTGTCAATTGCAGTTAATGTCCATTGTTGTTCGTGTAATTTGTTGATGTCTAATGTTGTTCGTATCAATTGTAGTTGATGTCTAATGTTGTTAGTTTTAATTGTAGTTTATGCCTGTTGTTCCTGTCAATTGTAGTTCATGTATAGTGTTGTTGATCTAACTTGTTTTCCATGCCTATTGTTACGTATGCATGTTGTCCATTATGTATTTTGTTATCGGTGTCTATAGTAGGATATTGTCCTCGATGTCTATTGTTCCTCAGGTCTATTGTTACAATGCATGAACATTGCCCATAATAATCTATTGTTGTTGGTGCCCCATTGTTGTGGGTGTCTATTGTTGTCCACATCTATTGTTGTCCAAGTCCATTGTAAAAAATTCGGTCACAGTCCCTATGATCACTGTTACATTGCAATTATGGCTTTATTTTTTGGTGATTTCGAAAATGTTTTTTTGGTTTGGACATGTTTGTTTTGTTGTAGTACGGAGTTAGACTGATGGCCTTAATCTAAGTTTTCTTGTGGTTGTTGTTGTTGTTGTTTGACTTGCATCCCACTGGGATTTTTGCACACAACTTTGGTGTACGGTGCTTTTTTCAGGAATATTTTGCTGTTTTTTTCATGGATTTTCTGTTTGCACAGTCACATAGTCACTTTAAGATGTTGTCTTGTTCGTGTTTTTTTGTTTTTATTGTTTGTTGTGGTTGCACCCGATTCAAGAGCCGAATGGCTCACAGGACTATACCAAAATAAATAAACTGGGAAAAAAAACATTTGTTGTTCGTGTCTTTTGTCGTTCACGTCCATTGTTGTGCGTTGCCTTGGACGTGCGCGCGTGCGTGGCGTGGTGCAGAGCAATGCGTGGCCCGCTCCAGGCAGTGACGGCAAATGCTGCTGCACATGCGCCCTTTCTAGCGAATAAAGCAGCCTGTGTAGAGCCAAATCATCCATACAGCGAGAGAGAGGGAAGATATGAGAGAGAGAGAGGAGGAGGAGGGAGAGGAGAGACAGGCACGGGAAGAGCGAGAGAGGAAGAGAGAGATGCGGAGAGAAAGGGAGAGAGAAAGAGAGAGAGAGACTCGCACGGGGAGAGGGAGGGAGGGAGACATTCACGGGGAAAGAGAGAGGGACATACACAGGGAGAGAGAGTGAGGGAGACATTCACGGGGAGAGAGAGAGAGCGCGCAAGGGAGAGAAAGTGGGGAGGGACATAGTCACACAGGGAGAGAGAGAGAGACAGAGAGAGCGTCAGGGAGAGCGGCACACACAGGGAGGGAGAGCGGCTGCAGATAGTGGCATGCAAGTTTGGGGAATGCGACAGGCAGCCGCAATGAATGCAGATAAATTATTTTAAATATAATTTTAGTTTTCTTTATTTTTAAATATATAATGTGTGTGTATTTACATTTGTAAATAGCTGCCTGCGTTTGTAATCATCATCATCAGCAGCAGCAGCAACGGCAGCAGCGGCGGTAGCACAATCTTCATTCAGCAGCATCAGCCGAAGCAGCATCAGCATCGTCTTCCTTGGTCATCATCATCATCAGCAGCAGCACCATCAGCAGCAACAACATCGTCATCATCATCAGCAGAAGAAGAAGCAACTGCTCCATTCAATACAAACATCTTCATCCATCATCATCAGCAGCAGCTGCAGCAACAACATCATCATCATCAGCAGAAGAAGAAGAAGCAACTGCTCCATTCATTACAAACATCTTCATCCATCATCATCAGCAGCAGCACCACCATCAGCAGCAACAATATCGTCATCATAATCATCAGCAGCAGCAACAACAACATCATCATCAGCAGCAGGAGCAACTGCTCTATTCATTACAAACATTTTCATCCATCATCATCAGTATGCAGCAAGTAACGGAGCTCTTTAAACCGCTAATACGCATAAGGTGCTGATAGGCAGCAAAGTAGTAGCGAGGGAACATCTCTCGGATAATAATGGCATCTTATACATTCGGTGTAAATCTTGTCGGGAGAAAGATACGGTGCATCTAACCAGAGGTATCGACGTGATCGAGAAATATTTACGATTTAGCTCACAGATGCATCTCTCACGGAGGGAGATGCATCAAGGAGATACGTCTCAGAGGTAATTCGCCGATAACGTCTCACGTTTCAGGGCGAGAAAGCTGCGGTCCATCTCTCAGAGATGCATCTACGGTACATCTCATAGATAGCTACAGCGTCGATCTCACGGGAGAGACATCTCACAGAGATTCAAGTAACCCGATATTTCACGGGGAGAGCAATCTCGTCGTGTTTAAAGCCACGGAACATCTCCTCGCAGAGATGTATCTCAGGAATAACTGAAGTACATGTTGCAGAAGCACATCGCACGGAGGTATACATCTCGTAGAGATACAGCTCCGGCACATATCACAGAATACATCTCGAGCGAGAGAGACGCAAAACGCATCTCACCATGTATCTCATATAGAGATATCTGAGATGCATCTCATCATGCATCTTACATAGATATATCCATAACATTCACATCTCAGTGGCACGCAAACGATACATATACATCTCAGAGAGGTATCTGCGGTGCATCTTAGAAATACATCTCGAGAGATACATTGAGCGTGCATCTCATGCAACAGATACATCTCAGAGGGAAGATACATCCACAGTGCATGGTTCTAACAGAGATACCTCTCATAGAGAAGATACACTCACTCGGCTCCGTCTAACAGAGGTGCATCTCATCACACAGAAGTACATCTCATCACACAGAGGTACATCTCATCACACAGAAGGGCATCTCATCACACAGAGGTACATCTCATCACACGGAAGTACATCTCATCACACAGAGGTACATCTCATCACACGGAAGTACATCTCATCACACGGAAGTGCATCTCATCACACAGAAGTACATCTCTCTCCGTTCAACAGCTGTTGCCGTGGACGAAAAAAACAGGAGCGAGATTCGTCCTGGGCCAACATCATCGTCAACATCATCGTCAACATCATCAGCAGCATCATCATCTTCATCACTAACAGCAGCAGAAGCAACATCATCAGCAGCAGCATCATCATCATCATAAACATCATCATCAGCAATATCATCATCAACAACAACATCATCAACAACATCATCATCTAACGGCTCCATCCACAGTTTATCATCTCGCTGTAATCGTTTAATCACACACACACACGCGCGCGCACATACACGCGTGTGTGTACGTGCGTGCGTCTCTATTTTATCAGCATCGTAATTAACTAAGCATCGAGCCGATGTAGATGCATTGAGAGAGAGAGAGAGATGCACAATATAATAATTATTGTGCGTGTGTGTGTGCAATATGTAATATATAATTAAATAGGAGAGAGAGAGACATATATAAATAGACAGGCGGTTGTAAGCAATGGGTCTCGGGGACGGATAGGCCGGTTTGAAAGAACGGACCGCATGAATGAAAATGTCGAACGGATTCATTGGACGAGCAAGCTCTCTCATCGTCTGCTCATTAGGCTAATGACGACGATGCTAATAATCTAGGCGGTTATGGGTTCGGGGTTACGGTTAAACCGATTCGTATGGGGGTGACGGACAGACGTTGTGCAGACAGCTCACAGCCACAAAACAACTTCCATCATTCACGAATTCATTCATTCTTTCATCCCGCTCACTCATTCATCGCTCGCCCAATCAATCAGGACCGTCGCCAATGCATCTCCCGCATTAGCCCAGGATATGCCAGCTACGGAATTAACAGTCATTAATTAATTGCCATTAATTGCCATTAATTAATCGCCATTAATTAATCGCCATTAATGTTTTAATAAACAACCCCAGGCGCCGGCCATCAGCTGTGAGAGGCGCGCATTCGGTCGTGTGGGTTTTCTTTGCGTCTTCATTCAGTCACCCGGCAGCGGCGTTCACCGCTCGCACGTCCATTCCTCTGGCGTTAACCTCACACCCTCGTGGTGGTGGTGGTGGTGGTCTTGGTTGAGGAGGAGGAGGGGTCTTCGAGCCGCATGACGATGTCCAGTCGTCGAACCTGGTCTACTCCTCCACCGTCCGCTGCTGCTGCTGCTCGTTATTCTCTTACCGCCTCTGCTGCTGCTGCTACTGCAGTTTCACCTCCTCCTCCAGCTCTTCCTCGTCCACCACCACCACCACCTCCTCCTGCTGCTGCACCGGCCGCTGCCGGCACGGCCACGACTACTCCCACGACTGCCAGCTACTGCTGCATCGTCCCTGCTGCTGCATCGACGCCTTCGCCACGACCATCATCGCCGTCGCCATGGGCGTCTGCGAGAGAGGGGTCCAAACCTTGCTCACGACCGGCGGCGCGTTCGCTGCCTTCGGCCTCATGAGCATCGCCGTAGGCACAGACTTCTGGCTCTACTCGAGGGGCAACTGCCGCAGCAAGGGTGGCGGAGGGGAAAACGACACGAGTCGTAAGAACGAGGAGGTGCTCACCCACTCTGGACTGTGGCGGACCTGCTGCTTGGAAGGTGAGCGAATGTTGCCACTCGCTAACAAGCTCGCTCGCTCGCTCGCCCCAACAGTCTGTTAGGGGCTGTACGGGGGATCTTTGTCTTTGTGTCTCTTGTGCGTCGTGTAGCGGTCAGCGCCGCTGTGAGCCGTGCGAGGCCCCGAGTTCGATTCCCGCTCACGGGCAAACGCCGGTGACGATTATTTGAACCGGTCCTGGGCCTCCCCTAGGTCGACTCGGCCTCAAATGGGTACCTGGTGCGGTGTGTACAACCATCGCCACTGGGGAGACAAAGGCGGCCGGGCGTGGTGCTGGCCACGCATCCCGTCGTGTGCCGTGCCGGCCTTCAGAAGGTGCTCGCTAACAGCACTTGCCCCAACAGTCTGCTAAGGCTATACGGTGGGGGGGGGGGTACAGTGGTGAGCGCGCTGCGCTTTAAGAAAGCTGTCCGGTGATCCCGAGTTCGATTCCTGTTCACGGCCACCAAAGCCCGTGCCGGTTATCTGACTGAACTGGTCCCTGAGTTATCCCCTGGGATGCCCAGGACCGCCTTTGTCTTCCCCCCCCCCCCGCCGCTGACGTTAACACCCCGCACCAGGTACTCGCTTGCATCTCGAGCTCACGATCTCAAGGCCACGTACACACAACCACGCACCAAGTGAGCAAATCAGCATTGGGGAGACAAAGGCGGCCGGGCGTGGTGCTGGCGGCTACACCGCAGTCTCTTGGCCTTGCCGTTAGCCATGTGTTCGCCTACCTGGTAGCTCTTTGGCTTTGTGTGTGGGAGGACGTGAGAGAGAGAGGCTGTTGTACACGCACTGCGTACCCTGGTTGTGGTGGTGGTTGTAGTGGTGGTGGTGGTTGTAGTGGTGGTGATGGACGTGGTGGTGACGATGGTCGTGATGATGGTGGTCGTGGTGGTGATAGGTGATGATGGTCGTGGTGGTGATTTGTGGTGGTGGTGGTCGTGATGGTCGTGATAGTGGTGGTGATGGTGATCGTGGTGGTGATGATGGTGGTCGTGGTGGTGATGATGGTCGTGATGTTCGTGGTGGTGGTGGTGATGATGATCGTGGTGGTGATGATGGTGGTCGTGGTGGTGATAGTGGTCGTGGCGGCTCTCGCGGTAGTGGTGGTTCTAGCGGTGATGATGGTGGCCATGATGATGGTCGTGATGTTGTGGGTCAGCAACAGTAGCATGAGCAACAATCATTATCATCACCATAAGCAGCAGCAGCAGCAAGACCGCGATCGTGTGTGTGTAAAACAGAAGGTTTCATTTTCCTACACTTAAAATAATTTACTCATAATTAACGCTGCCTGCGTTAATAGAGCAGATTGAAATTTCCGTGTGCGCGTGCGTGTGTGTACACGTGTTCCACGCGTGTGTGTGTGTACACGCGTGTTCCGCGTGTGTGTGTACACGTGTTCCACGCGTGTGTGTGTACACGTGTTCCACGCGTGTGTGTGTACACGTGTTCCACGCGTGTGTGTGTACACGTGTTCCACGCGTGTGTGTGTACACGTGTTCCACGTGTGTGTGTGTACACGTGTTCCACGCGTGTGTGTGTACACGTGTTCCACGTCTGTGTGTGTACACGTGTTCCACGTCTGTGTGTGTACGCGTGTTCCGCGTGTGTGTGTACGCGTGTTTCGCGCGCGCGTGTGTGTACACGCGTGTTCCGCGCGTGTGTGTGTACGTGTGTTCCGCGCGTGTTCCACGTGTGTGTGTGTGTACGCGTGTTCCACGTGTGTGTACGCGTGTTCCGCGCGCGTGTGTGTGTGTACACGTGTTCCACGTGTGTGTGTGTGTACACGCGTGTTCCACGTGACGCAGCCGGCGTTCATCCGGCTTCGCGAGCGTCACATGGAACGAGTTTAACAACCATCGGGCGCGTACAGCGCGGCACGAGTTTAAAAAATGCCATTTGAATGCGGAGGCGCGGATTGGTAACGGAGGTGGCGGCGGTTGGGTCGGTGGTGGGGCCGCGAGGCCTGGAGTTGGCCGTTCACCCCACTCAGTGGTGTGTGTGTGTCCGTGTGTTTGTGTCCGTGTCCGTGTGTGTGTGTCCGTGTGTGTGTGTCCGTGTGTGTGTGTCCGTGTGTGTGTGTCCGTGTGTGTGTGTCCGTGTGTGTGTGTCCGTGTGTGTGTGTCCGTGTGTGTGTGTCCGTGTGTGTGTGTCCGTGTGTGTGTGTCCGTGTGGTGCTGGCCACCCACCCCCTCGTGTACCGTTACCGGCCTTCACAGGTGCTCGCTAACAGCACTTGCCCCTACAGTCTGTTAAGGCTATATGGGGGATCTTTGTGTGTCCGTGTGTGTCCGTGTGTGTGTGTCCGTGTGTGTGTGTGTGTGTTCGTGTGTGTGTGTTCGTGTGTGTGTGTCCGTGTGTTTGTCCGTGTGTGTGTGTCCGTGTGTGTGTGTCTGTGTGTGTGTCCGTGTGTGGGGAGCGGTAGTGCAGGGGTTAGCGCGTTGCACTACGAACCTGGCGACCCGGGTTCGATTCCCGCTCACGGCCAACACGAGTGACGATTATCTGAACCGGTCCTGAGCCGCCCCTAGGTCGACTCAATCTCAAATGAGTACCTGGTGCTGTGTGTAAACATCGCCACTGGGGAGACAAAGGCGGTCGGGCGTGGTGCTGGCCACCCACCCCCTCGTGTACCGTTCCGGCCTTCATAGGTGCTCGCTAACTGCACTTGCCCCTAAAGTGTGTTAAGGCTATATGGGGGATCTTTGTCTTTGAGTGTGTGTGTGTGTGTTCGTGCCCATAATCAGAATCGGAATATCGGTGTCTGCTGTCGGAATCCGATGAGCTATGAATGTCCATAGTATAGAGTGGGGTTAGATCGTGGTAAATAAAATATAAATGTTGTGTCGTTAAACCCGCCACCACCCGACACAGCCAAAGCCAATTGGTGAGATTTGTCACGTAAAACGGGAGGGATTTCTCCACAAATCTGTCCGTCGCCTGATGAAGCTGGTTGTTATTACTGACGAAACGTCGTACTTGGCTCTCCAACACACCGGTTAGTGCTGTACTAGTATACTACACTATACACTACACTACTATACATTACACTACTACACACTACACTATACACTACTATACTACACACTACACTACCATACACTACACTATACTACTATACACGACACTATACACGACACTACAATACACTATACTACTACACTACTATACACTACTATACACGACACTACTATACACTACACTATACACTACACTATACACTAGTGCTGTACTTGTGACGAATTGGCCACGTTCTGTTTACGTGACAAACCTCACTAATCGGCTGTGTCCGTGTGTGTGTCTGTGCTGGGTGGTGGCGGGTTTAACGACACAACATTTATATACTTACGCGATCTAACCCCCCCCCCCGGTTCAGAAGGTGACAATAAGAAACGATGCACAGCCCACACTGATTGCCAGCCTTCACTTGCCCCAACGGGTCTGTCAAGGCTACACAGGGTGGAGGATCTTTTGTCTTTGTTGCGTCAAGTGCATAGCAGCGTGCTGCGCGCTGCGTGCGGAAGCAGCATCAGTGGAAGCAACAGCAGTGGAGGCAGCAGCAGTGGAGGCAGCAGCAGTGGAAGCAACAGCAGGAAGCAGCAGTGGAGGCAGCAGCAGTGGAAGCAGCAGCAGTGGAAGCAACAGCAGGAAGCAGCAGCAGTGGAGGCAGCAGCAGTGGAAGCAACAGCAGTGGAAGCAACAGCAGGAAGCAGCAGCAGTGGAGGCAGCAGCAGTGGAAGCAACAGCAGGAAGCAGCAGCAGTGGAGGCAGCAGCAGTGGAGGCAGCAACAGTGGAAGCAACAGCAGGAAGCAGCAGCAGTGGAGGCAGCAGCAGCAGCGTCATCCGTGTGGAGGAAGATCATGTGGGGGAATCGCGGTGCCCCTCTGAAGCATTCGTGTGGATGGAGTGTGTGGATGGAGTGTGTGGAGAGTGTGTGGATGGAGTGTGTGGATGGAGTGTGTGGATGGAGTGTGTGGATGGAGTGTGTGGGGAGTGTGTGGGGAGTGTGTGGGGAGTGTGTGGATGGAGTGTGTGGATTGAGTGTGTGGATTGAGTGTGTGGATGGAGTGTGTGGATGGAGTGTGTGGATGGAGTGTGTGGATGGAGTGTGTGGATGGAGTGTGTGGGGAGTGTGTGGATGGAGTGTGTGGATGGAGTGTGTGGATGGAGTGTGTGGGGAGTGTGTGGGGAGTGTGTGGGGAGTGTGTGGATGGAGTGTGTGGATGGAGTGTGTGGATTGAGTGTGTGGGGAGTGTGTGGATGGAGTGTGTGGATGGAGTGTGTGGATGGAGTGTGTGGGGAGTGTGTGGATGGAGTGTGTGGATGGAGTGTGTGGATGGAGTGTGTGGATTGAGTGTGTGGATTGAGTGTGTGGATTGAGTGTGTGGATTGAGTGTGTGGATTGAGTGTGTGGATTGAGTGTGTGGATGGAGTGTGTGGATGGAGTGTGTGGATGGAGTGTGTGGATGGAGTGTGTGGATGGAGTGTGTGGATGGAGTGTGTGGATGGAGTGTGTGGATGGAGTGTGTGGATGGAGTGTGTGGATGGAGTGTGTGGATGGAGTGTGTGGGGAGTGTGTGGGGAGTGTGTGGATGGAGTGTGTGGATGGAGTGTGTGGATGGAGTGTGTGGATTGAGTGTGTGGATTGAGTGTGTGGATTGAGTGTGTGGATGGAGTGTGTGGATGGAGTGTGTGGATGGAGTGTGTGGATGGAGTGTGTGGATGGAGTGTGTGGATGGAGTGTGTGGATGGAGTGTGTGGATGGAGTGTGTGGGGAGTGTGTGGATGGAGTGTGTGGATGGAGTGTGTGGATGGAGTGTGTGGATGGAGTGTGTGGATGGAGTGTGTGGATGGAGTGTGTGGATGGAGTGTGTGGATGGAGTGTGTGGGGAGTGTGTGGGGAGTGTGTGGGGAGTGTGTGGGGAGTGTGTGGGGAGTGTGTGGATGGAGTGTGTGGATGGAGTGTGTGGATGGAGTGTGTGGATGGAG